TTCAGAGGCAGTAAATCATACGAGAAGAGATTTCCCCCCTCTATGAGGTGGATTGATTCAGTGACTGGGATCGGGATGGGAATGTCAGAGACAGTGCGATTGGCACAGGACAGAGCGGAGTTTAGGGCTGTTGTACATAAGGTCGCTATGATTCGCAAGTGACTCAACGGCACATAACAACAAACAACAACAATACTATAATATCTTTCCAACTGGTCTCTACTTTTCCTATAATCCCTTCTCCAGTCTCCAGAGTGATTGTTTAAATAAACAGTGAATCTGAGAACATAGATCTCCTACTTAAAAGTACTGGATTCTCATTACTGTCAGGATAAAGAACCAAGTCCTCACATATCTTATGAGATCTTAGGCAACCTGGACCTCATCTACCTTTCCATCTCCATAGCACACCTCACTCCTACTCCTGGCCTCTTCACATGTCTTCCTTTGGTTTCCTGACAACACTGTGTTCAATTCTAACCTATAGTCTTTCCCTATACAGTTTATTAAATCTGAGATACTGTTCTTGTGATTTTTCTCACTTCTTTGCACAGTTAAACTCAATCTTCCTATCTTGGGAGAAACCTTTTCTGATTCTTCTATTTATGTGAAGAACAGGCACCTATGGGCTGTAATGGTAAAAAGTGCTGCCAACCCAAAGGTACAAGGTTTGAATTCACTAGCTGCTCTATGGGAGAAACAAGAGTAATTTAAGCCCAATACATGGGATAAACATTTTAATTAAAAATAATTCTGTTTTTCCAAAATAAAAAAAAAATTAATGAAAAGAATTGGACATTTAAACATGTAATAAAAAGAATGGAACATTTTAAAAGTCTCTTTAATATCTGGCTACATGGAAGACAAAGTCTCATCTATCTGTTTCAATATGTTGTCTAGTTGAGTATATCAAGAAAATCGGGCTTCAAAACTGACAGGCAGTTGAAAAAGGTTGTTGTTGTTATGTGTCGTCGAGTGGTTTATGACTCATAGCGACCCTACGTACAACAGCCCTAAACCCTACTCTATCCTGTGACAAACGCACTGCCTCTGACACACCCATCCCAATTACCCCAGTCACTGAATCAATCCACCTCATAGAGGGTCTTCCCCTCCTGCACTGTCCCTCTACCCTCCCAAGCATGATGTCCCTCTCCAAGGACCTGTCTCTCCTTACAACATGTCCAAAGTATGTCAGAAGAAGCCCCAGAATC